CGTTTGCCAGCCCTTAAACGCTTAAAACCCTTAAAAACCCTCAAAAGGCTTAAAACCCTTACAACCCGTCATGGGGGTCCAAGCCTGCCGTTTGCCATGCTTCATCCTGCAGCCAACAGGCACCCCAAGGCACACATCAATGGCTTCTTATGGGCGTCCAAGCCTGCCGTTTGCCAGCCCTTAAACGCTTAAAACCCTTAAAAACCCTCAAAACCCTTAAAAACCCTTACAGCCCGTCATGGGGGTCCAAGCCTGCCGTTTGCCATGCTTCATCCTGCAGCCAACAGGCACCCCAAGGCCACACAATGGCTTCTTACGGGCGTCCAAGCCTGCCGTTTGCCAGCCCTTAAACGCTTAAAACCCTTAAAAACCCTCAAAAGGCTTAAAACCCTTACAACCCGTCATGGGGGTCCAAGCCTGCCGTTTGCCATGCTTCATCCTGCAGCCAACAGGCACCCCAAGGCCACACATCAATGGCTTCTTATGGGCGTCCAAGCCTGTGAGGGTCCAAGCCTGCCGTTTGCCATGCTTCATCCTGCAGCCAACAGGCACCTCAAGGCCACACATCAATGGCTTCTTATGGGCGTCCAAGCCTGCCGTTTGCCAGCCCTTAAACCCTTAAAACCCTTAAAAACTATCAAAACCCAACAGGCACCCCAAGGCCACACATCAATGGCTTCTTATGGGCGTCCAAGCCTGCCGTTTGCCAGCCCTTAAACCCTTAAAACCCTCCAAACCCTTAAAAACCTCTCAAAAGGCTTAAAACTTTAAACCCTCATGGGGTCCTAACCTGCCGTTGCCATGCTTCATCCTGCCGCCAACACACCCCCCGGCCACACCATCAATGGCTTTTATGGGCGTCAAGCCCTTGCCGTTTACCGCCCTTAAACCCTTAAAACCCTTAAAACCCCTCAAAAGGCTTAAAAACCTTTAAAACCGTCATGGGGGTCCAAGCCTGCCGTTGCCATCTTCATCTGCATCCAAACCAGGCCACACCCCAAGGCCACGCATCATTGCTTCTAATGGGCGTCCCTTAGCAACCCCGTCATGGGGGTCCCAAGCCTCCGGTTTTACTGTGCCATTCTTCATCTGCAGCTAACAGGCACCCCAAGGCCCAGCACATCATGGCTTTCTTATGGGTCGTCCAAGCCTGGCCGTTTGCCCAGCCCTTAACCCTTAAACCTTAAAACCCCCTTAAAAAAAAACCCTCAAAAGGCTTAAAACCCTTACAACCCGTCATGGGGGTCCAAGCCTGCCGTTTGCCATGCTTCATCCTGCAGGCAACAGGCACCCCAAGGCCACACATCAATGGCTTCTTATGGGCGTCCAAGCCTGCCGTTTGCCAGCCCTTAAACCCTTAAAACCCTTACAACCCGTCATGGGGGTCCAAGCCTGCCGTTTGCCATGCTTCATCCTGCATCCAACAGGCACCCCAAGGCTCATCAATGGCTTCTTATGGGCGTCCAAGCCTGCCGTTTGCCAGCCCTTAAACGCTTAAAACCCTTAAAAACCCTCAAAAGGCTTAAAACCCTTACAACCCGTCATGGGGGTCCAAGCCTGCCGTTTGCCATGCTTCATCCTCCAGCCAACAGGCACCCCAAGGCCACACATCAATGGCTTCTTATGGGCATCCAAGCCTGCCGTTTGCCAGCCCTTAAACCCTTAAAAACCCTCAAAACCCTTACAACCCGTCATGGGGGTCCAAGCCTGCCGTTTGCCATGCTTCATCCTGCAGCCAACAGGCACCCCAAGGCCACACATCAATGGCTTCTTATGGGCGTCCAAGCCTGCCGTTTGCCAGCCCTTAAACGCTTAAAACCCTTAAAAACCCTCATTTCCGTGTCTGTCTATTGAATGTTGTTTTGATGCATACTTTTGGTGCGCCTTTTCCTTGCGAAGACTACGTCTTACGCAAGGGAGGCAAGACACACCATCCCCAAAATATGAAAACAACATTCCATGAACAGCCACGGAAATCCCTGATATCAATACATTCGATTCATTGTCCCACAATCTATGTTTACGCTACCTAGACCTTCAAAAACTCTATAACATTTGCACGTTTGGACTACTGCACATGTGGGCCGTTTTGACCTTTCCCCGCCGCTCCGCCCTGAAAAGGGGGTCGGCGGCACCAGGGCGTTAGCCCATTTATATGTATATATCATATGTCTGTATAATAAAATCCGCCACAACACCAACTGGGGGTATGCATTGAAATTTCCGCGCCCATTCGCTCCCTCCCAGTGGTGTTGCTTTTTTTTGTTTTTACTACTTTCTAAAAAATACCCATCCACTCCATCCCAATGGTCAAGACCAGCACTGCGAAACCTTCTGAACAAACAGGGGGATGAATGAATAGGAAGGCGGGGGGGATATACTATATTATACAATGTGTGGGATGCGTGGGTTCAACTATGCGTGATATCGTGTGATATAACCGAGGGATTGGGATGTGTCCCCCAAAAAAAAATTGAACTCATCAACCCGAAATTCAGGGTTTGAAGACTATTTGGTATGTCATTCCATTCAAGAACTTGGTTGAACCACCGGGTGCCACCTTTCAAGCTTGTGTTCTCCCTGATGTTGTCTCAACCTCAAAGCAAATGAAGTGAGCAAGTTGAAAAAGGCTGCAGGAGGAAATTGAACGCAATCAGGGTTTTGAATGGGAAATGGGTGAAATCAACACCAAATGTCAATGTTTGGAGGCTTTACTGTTCCAAAGCGTGGTTAAAATGCAGTGTGAAGCTCTGACCATCGCAAAGGAGATGCAAAGCATCAACAAACTGACAGGTGGCAAATACCATGACACAGCGCCGTTGTTTTCCCCTGAGCCAGGTAGTCTTGCAATGGGTTAGGCTGTCAAGCACAGACGCCACTGGGGTCGCAGCACTCACACTTCTGTGTGCAACTGCGCTGACCAAAAATAGCTGCCGCACGGGCTGCCACACGTGTGTGTGAGGCATTTAAGTAACCATCATCAGAGACAGCAGTTAATTCTGCCTGTCGACGAGAAGAAAGTCTTCTCAAGTTTGGTACCCAACGATTTTGACACCACATTCGAGACGCTCTCAGTCCTTGAAAACCAAACAAGGGTCAAATGCTAGGAAAAAAAGAAACCACAACCGCAAGCATAGTAAAGCATAGCATCGAGGGCACCTTGCAATCTCGTTCGTATTCTTTTCCTAGCCATGTCGAAATCCAAGCATGAGACAACAGGTCTCACTCCAGAACCAGCATCTCGCAAGTTGAGAACAGATGATGACAAAGAAGTTGAGAAACAAGAAGAGGACAAGCCTGACCATCCTATGCATGCTGATCCAATGACGAGGCTTGTTCTTGAAGAACTACAGTCTGAGATGGCCGGCTACAAGAATCAAACAGCTTACCTTATGGCACAGCATTCGGACACACTCCGGGAAAAGGCCAAGAGAGAAATTCTAGTGGGAGGATGGAGCAGTTTCAAGCCAACTTTTCTCCGCAACGGAACCTCCGTTTACCCGAAAAAACATGCAAATCCTAACATAGCAGTTCCACTGCGATCTGCCAACAATGACTTGCAAAGCACAATCAGACTTGTAATTTCTCTGCTCTACGCGTCTCTTTCCTACTCTACTTTTCTCAACTCTACTCTTCTCAACCTATACCCAACTTCTACTCTACCGCTACCTCTACCTGTACCCCTACTCCGCTTCTATGCAGCTCTACCCTACTCTCCTCTCCTCTACCTCTTCTCTACTCTACCATCTTCTCTAGTCTACCTCTACTCTACCTCTACGCAGGTGTCGACTGGACACAATGATCTCTGTGCTAATGAGAATGTGACTTCATGATCTCTTGAGGCACATGCCAACTGGACACAATGATCTTTGGGCTAGTGAATGTGACCTCATGATCTCCTAAGGCACATGCCAACTGGACACAATGATCTCTGTGCTAATGAGAGTGTGGCTCTATGATCTCTTAAGGCACATGCCAACTGGACACAATGATCTCATATGATCTCTGTGCTAATGAGAATGTGACTTTATGATCTCTTAAGGCACATGCCAACTGGACACAATGATCTTTGGGCTAGTGAGAATGTGACTTCACGATCTCTTAAGGCACATGCCAACTGGACACAATGATCTCAATATGATCTCTGTGCTAATGAGAATGTGACTTTATGATCTCTTAAGGCACATGCCAACTGGACACAATGATCTTTGGGCTAGTGAGAATGTGACTTCATGATCTCTTAAGGCGCATGCCAACTGGACACAATGATCTTTGGGCTAGTGAGAATGTGAAAGTCCGTAACTCGGAGTTTCCTCCATGAAACTTCCTGTGAAAATATCCTGACATATTTCGGCTTGTTAATGGATGCTTATTAAATACGGCAATACTAGATTTTGACCCATCCCTAATAATTAGTAATTTTCAGAACGACACAAACAACTATGATTACGTCCAGTTTGTAAACGCAAATGGAATTTGATTTCAGAATATTTTCTAGTCCTGTAGAAATAATGGGCTAATCAAATGGCTATTGTACTCAGTTGATTGTTTGATCTTGCTGGGAAGACCGCGGTGAACTTGCGGTGGTGATTCCAGTGAAATCTTCTGCATGGGTAGATGTTGAGCTAGGAATTTGTTTGCACTCTCAGCGCGGCACGCGCTGTATTTGCAATCTCCGCAAAAAGTTATTATGGACAGGCTTTGTACAAATGAAAGCAAATCCATCTTTAGGCATGCTTTCAGCATGCCATTTTTGGGTGGATGGCAGTGGCATCATGGCACCATCTGTTGGTAGAGTTTCTCAAGTTTGGGCAGAACACGAAACAGCCGCATGTTTATCCTGTTGGGTGACCACCTGCCGTTACAAGGAAATCTTGTCAAATCATGCTTGCACTGTATGGAGCACAGCCTTCTGAGTGGCTTGCTGCATATGTTACACTTGACACAAATAACAGCACAGGTTCAGCAGAACAATTGGCTCTACCAAGGACAGTGCAGGGCTACGTGCAAGTACCCTTTCTGGAAGCAACAATACATCCACAGGAGATCGCCGCTAGCACAAAATAGATCAGCAGAAGCAAGTAATTCCTGAGGACGGAAAGTCGTTGAGTTGCAAGCGCGAAAAAATCATAGTTGAGAAGTTGAGATTGACTGCTTCAATCACTTTTGGTTTTCAATGAAAAATGTAAAAACTGACCTTTGAACAAACGAGTGCCTCACCAGTGCTAGGACCAGATCTGTTTACTCTGGAGATGCTGCCCCAAAGCAACACTTGGGAAATATGAAATGTGCAAACTGTGCAAACAAGTTTCCTTTGACCACGAATATCCTGCACAGTGCAGGGCCAATCGAACCAACCCCAAAACTCCAACTCCAGCAAGGACCTGACTGATCCTGTGTTGACAACCCCCTGGTCTCGCCTTGAACAAGAAGACAGACCACAGCGATCCAATCAATCCAGGTCCAATCAAAATAATTGGAAACGCAACGGAGTATCCCAACTGGACCTCATGATGGGCGAAACGATCTGAAAGGCCGCAAATCGGGAGCTGTTGGTGCAATCAAGTAGCATTGGCGACAAACCAGCATGATTGCGCAATGGCCCACATCACTCCTACAGCTGCGTTGCAATTCAAATGCCACTTTCTTGGGGCCTGGAGCAACTATGTAACGAGTACAGGAGCAAAGCCAGCTGTACGATTTGAGTAAAAATTAGTAAAATCTTGGAAAGCTCCTGAGACGAATCCCGGCAGCATGATCTCCGGGTTCACTTGAGGCTTGTTTCCTTTCCATGCGCAATAGATCAGAAAGTACCTTGGATAGCTGAGACTTTCACAAATCACCTCTTGCTGGTGCTGGAAACTGCAAAAATGCATAAAAATGCCTCATGGAAGAAAGATTTTTCGGGTTGTGTCATGTTGTGTCTTGCAGCTACTTGAGGCATCTGTTCCCAAAACCTTCATACCCAGTATTTGCGGCTTCAGCGCAGCATCGAAGCAGCTAAGATCCCGCAAAACCTTGGGGCGATGCCGGCGATGCGAAGCTGCGACGGAACATCCCTTGCCATAAGTTCAGGCAGCTTCACTACAAGTGAAACCCTCTCCCAGATTCTCCCAGAAACAGCTATTTGAAGGTCTGAAATTCAGACATCTATCTACCCTTTGACATCCTTTCACATGGACATAGATTGTCTAGGAAGTTTAGGCTCTCAGTTCTGGACTGATTGAAGGCCTTAGCCAAGAACACACCGATCACAAGAGCACCAAGACAAGCAGGAAATGCAGGTCAAACAAAAAGGCAATTTGGAATGCATTGGAGCTCTCTCTGGGTCTAGTTTTGGAAGATATGCAGTGCCTTGCGCTCGGCTCCATACGTAGTCTAAGCCATCTTGCGAAGCCCCCTTCACGTGCTGCTGTATCCAAGTGGATGGCAGAAAATTCAAGCCATAGCCTGCAGGACAAACATGGAAAAACAAGGTATCAGACTCTTCAATACTCTTAAATGAGTGTCTCTGCCTGGGGATACGATTGTCAAGGGTTATGAAGGGAATCATCTCCCCCAGCTAGGTGCAACAGATTTGTTTACGCACGAGACACCGTGGGTGATGTGGATGGCAGTGGATGGCACAGCTCGCCATAAAACGATTGATGGATTGCTGCTACCATGCTCTTCAAAAGAACAAACACATCTCAGAACCGTTTGAAATCTCAAATAACGGGAAGGAAATGAAGACCAGTGAAGACCATATACATGTCCCGTATACAAGATGAGCACCTCCTCGTGTCTATGTTACGACGTCTTTCTTCATTCCTTGTCTAGGGAAACAATCTGAACCGAAACTTCAAGCCAAGGTCAGACGTTCGAAGAATTTGACTTCAGCCCTACAGAAATTGCGAATCGGATCTGTGCTGAATGTCCTTGGCCTTGGCTCGCCCCTTGGCGGCTGCGGGCCGCTCAGCAAAAGAATCTGAAGTGGGCATATCCTCGCGAAAGCGCTCTCTAACTTCTCTGACTGCCAGGCACCTCTGAACCGCCAACAAACATTAAGAAAAACATATTGCAGAGAACGTTCAACCTCCGTTGGCAGAAACTCTTTTGTGCTTTCGAAATATTTTGGAAATGCTTTGGAAATGCTTCAAGGCCGAAGTCCTCAGGCTCGCCGCCAGGAGGAGGCTTCAGGGGCTCTGTCTTCCTGCAACTCAGCTGCGCCCAGGTGCTCGATTCATTTGGATTTCCGCGTTGAACCAAATGGTGTTTGCATGTGTAGTAATGCACGATGTTTGAAAACTAGGAAAAGGCTCCCAGATCATCTTGGATCAGTTTATTCTTTGAATGTGTTTGAAGGACATAAGGACTTAAAAGATCTAATTGAAGCCCCTGAAGCAGCTCCTAATTAGGGTGCTGCTTGCCAAGGCCAAAAATGCAAACCCAAGGCCTGCAGGGCGGGGAACATCATGTGCTGGAGGGTGCTTGTAAAACTGCATGAAAACCCTTTTGCACGAAATCCGAAATCACGTCACACGTCTTCATCTGGATGTATACCCAACTGGCTATTTTACTTGGGAATATCATGAGTATCCAATGGATTTAGGGATCAAAGAGCTGGCGCCTACTACATTAAGCCATGGCTTCTCAAGGCACGGTTGATCCTTGGTACGTCCGGCATGAGACTCAACGCTTTGGTTGTACGACCTCAATCTAGAATCGTGCAGTATAGATATGATAATTATATAAAAATAGTCTATAGTAATATAAAATACTAACATACTAATCTATACTACACTTATATGATCTTATATGGACTTCATGGTGTATTTCAAATTTCATTTCATCCACAGGCCTCTGAGATCCGTGCTCTGGACAGGTGACATAAATATACATAAATGAAGTTTCATCCAAGTGTCACTTTGCAGCCCAAACAGGCCAAAAAAACCCGTCACCCATCCGATGATCAGCGCAGTGGTGCCCCATGTCACCAGTCCTTGTGAAAACGGTGCCATAAGAAGAGTTCGACTTATCCAACTACGAACCTGTAGTACCATGTCAAAGCCCTGCTGCTACGACATGATACAAGTAGAAATGTATGTTTTGAAGTATGAAGCTTGGGAAAGTTGTTCCAGTTTCCGCTCTGCGTGGACTTCCAATCATAGTCATCCATGGCCATTGGAAATCTCGTTTGCAGAAGAAAATGGAAGCCAACCAAAGCCCTGACCTCAAGGGCAATCGATGCCAAATCAGTGCTCAATATAAATCAATATGATACGTTCACTCCTGTCTGAACATGCCGATCAAGGTCCGAAAATCTGCATCAGTGACCATCGCTACATAGATATCAATGCTATTGAAAAAAACATGAAAAAACCCTAGGTGGTGACTTTCATGACTTTCATGATGACACTTGATGACATACTGTCCTGGTCCAAGGCCGATCTGTCGGATGATGTACACGGTGAGGCAGTTACCTGAGCACCAAATCACTCCTCCAATCATTGCCTCGGCACAAAAATTGTGGAAAGTGACATCTGCTGTGGATACCCTCTGGTAATTCAACATAGCTATGGAAAATCACCATTTATAGTGGATTTACCCATTAAAGATGGTGATTTTCCATAGCTATGTTAAATTACCAGAGGGTATCTGTTCAAATCAACCGCCAAAATGGCCCTGAAAGATACACACGCACGTGTCACATATCGTCATATCGTCACATGCATCTGCTGCACAAACTGGGGAAAAGACATTCGATGCCAATCGTTTCACTGAAGCCATCATTGCTATTTTGATGGTATCCCAAATCATGACAACAATGAGTTCTCCATAGTTCTGCTATGCCAACAAGCAACGATTGGATAGAAAGCTGGATTCCTGGGCACCATCACGCATAGGCCTGTGAGCCAAATGCCCAAACACAACCTGAGCATACAGCCCTTTGGTCCCACGGATCCAAAATGGTCCAAGCGCACTTCCGTGTAGTGTTCAAGGCCATCTTCAAAACTGATAATGTGAATATATGATCAAAGGAAGTTGGGAAGCAATACTTCCGAGTTACGAATGACTTTTACTTGGTGCAATTGACCATGATGAAGGGTGGTAGATCATGTAACAATACATAATGTACAAATACATCACAAAAGAATAAGAAGCAATGAAATTGACCTTGAGGAAGGGTGGTAGATCATATAACAATACATAACATAACAATACATAATGTACCAATACATCACAAAAGAATAAGAAGCAATGAAATTGACCTTGAGGAAGGGTGGTAGATCATATAACAATACATAATATAACAATACATAATGCACCAATACATCACAAAAGAATAAGAAGCAATGAAATTGACCTTGAGGAAGGGTGGTAGATCATATAACAATACATAATATAGCAATACATAATCTAATCAAAGGAAGTTGGGAAGCAATACTTCTGAGTTACGGAAGTGGCGACGAAGGGAAGTGGTGATGAAGGGGAGTGGTGAGGAAGGGAAGTGGTGATGGCGGGAAGTGGCGACGATGGGAAGTGGTGAGGAAGGGAAGTGGTGAGGAAGGGAAGTGGTGACGAAGGGAAGTGGTGATGAAGGGGAGTGGTGAGGAAGGGAAGTGGTGACGATGGGAAGTGGTGAGGAAGGGAAGTGGTGGCGATGGGAAGTGATGAGGAAGGGAAGTGAGAAGCGATGGAATTGCTGAGGATGGGAAGTGATGAGGAAGGGAAGTGGTGACGATGGGAAGTGGTGAGGAAGGGAAGTGGTGACGATGGGAAGTGGTGAGGAAGGGAAGTGGTGACGATGGGAAGTGGTGAGGAATGGCAGATCGCATTGGAATGGCTGCATGAATGTTGCATGGGCTTTGTTGTGGGGAGGAAGCCGGAGCACGAAACCTTGTGTTTTTCCGTGTAAAGTGGCTGCAGGCAACGATGAAAGGTACCTCCTCTGTGCGACGGGTGCGGCTGCGGTCGTTTTGTGCGCGGATTGTTCCTCCTATGTGTTTTGCAACGAGTGGTTGTGTCTGTGTGCGTAGTTCTATGCGGTTCTTGAAGCTGTGGTGGCAGATCGCATTGGAATGGCTGCATGAATGTTGCATGGGCTTTGTTGTGGGGAGGAAGCCGGAGCACGAAACCTTGTGTTTTTCCGTGTAAAGTGGCTGCAGCCGGCGATGAAAGGTACCTCGTCTGTGCGGCGGGTGCGGCTGCGGTCGTTTCTGTCGCGAATTGTTCCTCCTATGTGTTTTGCAATGAGTGGTTGTTCCTGCGTGCGTAGTTCTATGCGTTTCTTGGAGCTGTGGTGGCAGATCGCATTGGAATGGCTGCATGATGTTGCATGGGCTTTGTGTTGGGGAGGAAGCCGGAGTACGAAACCTTGGGTTTTTCCGCGTAAAGTGGCTGCAGCCGGCGATGAAAGGTACCTCGTCTGTGCGGCGGTTGCGGCTGCGGTCGTTTCTGTCGCGAATTGTTCCTCCTATGTGTTTTGCAACGAGTGGTTGTTCCTGTGTGCGTAGTTCTATGCGTTTCTTGAAGCTCTGGTGGCAGATCGCATTGGAATGGCTGCATGATGTTGCATGGGCTTTGTGTTGGGGAGGAAGCTGGAGTTTTCCGTGTAAAGTGGCTGCAGCCGGCGATGAAAGGTACCTTGTCTGTGCGGCGGTTGCGGCTGCGGTCGTTTCTGTCGCGAATTGTTCCTCCTATGTGTTTTGCAACGAGTGGTTGTTCCTGTGTGCGTAGTTCTATGCGTTTCTTGAAGCTGTGGTGCCAGATCGCATTGGAATGGCTGCATGATGTTGCATGGGCTTTGTGTTGGGGAGGAAGCCGGAGCACGAAACCTTGTGTTTTTCCGTGTAAAGTGGCTGCAGGCGGCGATGAAAGGTACCTCGTGTGTGCGGCGGGTGCGGCTGCGGTCGTTTTGGTTCCTACTTTGTGTTTTGCAACAAAGGTTGTTCCTGTGTGCGTAGTGCTATGCGTTTCTTGAAGCTGTGGTTGCAGATCGCATTGGAATGGCTGCATGAATGTTGCATGGGCTTTGTTTTGGGGAGGAAGCCGGAGCACGAAACCTTGTGTTTTTCCGTGTAAAGTGGCTGCAGCCGGCGATGAAAGGTACCTCGTGTGTGCGGCGGTTGCGGCTGCGGTCGTTTGGTTCCTTCTATGTGTTTTGCAACAATGGTGGTTCCTGTGTGTGTAGTTCTATGCGTTTCTTGAAGTTGTGGTTGCAGATCGCATTGGAATGGCTGCATGAATGTTGCATGGGCTTTGTTGTGGGGAGGAAGCCGGAGCACGAAACCTTGTGTTTTTCCGTGTAAAGTGGCTGCAGGCGACGATGAAAGGTACCTCGTCTGTGCGGCGGGTGCGGCTGGGGTCGTTTCGTTCCTTCAATGTGTTTTGCAACAATGGTTGTTCCTGTGTTCGTATTTGATATCTGAATTAATGCGTTTCTGTGTTTCTTGAGTTTGTGCTTTTGCCAGTCGCCATTTGGAATGGCTGCATGATGTTGCAAGGGCTCTGTTGTGGGGAGGAAGCCGGAGCACGAAACCTTGTGTTTTTCCGTGTAAAGTGGCTGCAGCCGGCGATGAAAGGTACCTCGTCTGTGCGGCGGGTGCGGCTGGGGTCGTTTCGTTCCTTCAATGTGTTTTGTAACACTGGATGTTCCTGTGTACGTAGTTCTATGCGTTTCTTGAGTTTGTGTTTGCAGATCGCATTGGAATGCTACACCTGAATGTCGGACAATGGTCCTTTTGTTGATGAGGGAGGCAAGCCTGGAGGCGCACAGACATAATCCTTGTGAGTGTGATCATTTTCCGTGTAAAGTGGCTGCAGCCGGCGATGAAAGGTACCTCGTCTGTGCGGCGGGTGCGGCTGGGGTCGTTTCGTTCCTTCAATGTGTTTTGTAACACTGGATGTTCCTGTGTACGTAGTTCTATGCGTTTCTTGAGTTTGTGTTTGCAGATCGCATTGGAATGGCTGCATGAATGTTGCATGGTTCCGCAGCTGCATGCGTAATATTATTGTCTTTTGCAGCTGAAGATCGTAAATCGTATTGGAATGGCTGCATCCAGGCTGCGAAATGGCTTTGTCAGCAGATTTTCTCCATTTTGACGCTAGTGATTTTCCTTTTAAAAATCCTTTTAAAAAGTGCTACAAAATCGTCTTTTTTTCGCTTTGGCGTCGAGATCCGGTTTTGGAGCTGCAGTTTCCGATGCCGTTGCGCGTAATTCTATTGTGTTTTGCAACTGAGTCACTGCAGATCGCATTGGAATGGCTGCGTCAAAGTTGCTTGATGCCGCGGCTGCATACGTAATACTCTTGTCTTTTGCAGCTGAAGATCGTAAATCGTATTGGAGTGGCTGCATCCAGGCTGCGAAATGGCTTTGTCAGCAGATTTTCTCCATTTTGGCGCTAGTGATTTTCCTTTTAAAAATCCTTTTAAAAAGTGCTTCAAAATCGTCTTTTTCCCCACCTGCCAGGTGAGGGTTGTTAGATTTTATGTCAGTTGCCTCCTCCTGCCTCGTCCTCCTCCTCCTCCTCTCCTCCTCGTCCTCCTCGTCCTCCTTGTCATCCTTGTCGTCCTTGTCGTCCTCGTCGTCCTCGTCGTCCTCGTCGTCCTCGTCCAACTGCGACCCGCGATCCACAGTGTTCTCTGCCGGGCCTCAACCACGACCATCCACGCCCAGTGTTCCCTGCCGGACCTCAACTGCGAGTATCCACGCCAAGTGTTCCCTGCCGGACCTCAACCACGACCAGCCACGCCCAGTGTTCCCTGCCGGACCTCAACCACGACCAGCCACGCCCAGTGTTCCCTGCCGGACCTCATCTGCGAGTATCCATGCCAAGTGTTCCCTGCCGGACCTCATCTGCGAGTATCCATGCCAAGTGTTCCCTGCCGGACCTCAACCGCGGGTATCCATGCCAAGTGTTCCCTGCCGGACCTCATGTAGGAAGATATGGGACAAAGAATGTGCAGAAGAAAGTTAGAAAGAATGTCAGAAAGAATGTCAGAAGAGATGCCAGAAGATATGCCAGATAGAATGCCAAATAGAATGCCAGATAGAATGCCAGAAGATATGTCAGAATATATGCCAGAAGATATGCCAGATAGAATGCCAGAAGATATGCCAGATAGAATGCCAGATAAAATGCCAGAAGATTTGCCAGATAGAATGCCAGATAATATGCCAGAAGATATGCCAGATAGATATGCCAGATAGATATGCCAGATAGAATGCCAGATTGAATGCCAGAAGATATGTCAGATAGAGTGCCAGAAGATATGCCAGATAGAATGGCAGAAGATTTGCCAGAAGATATGCCAGATCATATGCCAGAAGATATGCCAGATCATATGCCAGAAGATATGCCAGATAGAATGCCAAATAGAATGTCAGAAGATATGTCAGATAGAATGCCAGAAGATTTGCCAGTAAGAAAATGTATAAATGTCATGGTGGGGATCACACGAAGTAAAGTAATTTTCGCTTTGGCGTCGAGATCCGGTTTTGGAGCTGCAGTTTCCGATGCCGTTGCGCGTAATTCTATTGTGTTTTGCAACTGAGTCTCTGCAGATCGCATTGGAATGGCTGCGTCAAGGTTGCTTGGTGCCGCGGCTGCATACGTAATACTCTTGTATTTTGCAGCTGAAGATCGTAAATCGTATTGGAGTGGGTGCATCAAGGCTGCGACAGTGATTAGTAGTAGTACTGGGAAGTGATTCATGAAAGCTTAAATGACATATGAGAAGAGATGAGAAGAGATGAGAAGAGATGAGAAGAGATGAGCTGGGATAAGGTGAGAAGGGCTCAGATGAGATGAAGTGTGGAGTGTGAAGAGTGCAGTGTGAAATGTGGGGCGTGAAGAGTGCAGTGTGAAGTGTGAAGTGTGAAGTTTGGAGTGTGAAGAAAGCAGTGAGGAGTGAGAAGTGTGAAGTGTGGACTGTGAA